AGGAGCACAGGTGGGAAGACTTGTTGACGGGACTCTGGAGGCCGTCGTCACTTGGCTGTGCACCCAGTATTCACGTGCACAGTGGGCGTTGCTGGCGTTGGATGCAGGAGGCTTTGGGGCAGTTCCCTCACTAGTCAGTTATTGGGCTGCACTGGTCAGGGTGTCAGGGACCAGATGTCAGGACTTGAACTTCGGAGGTCTGTTGAGTGACACAGGGTGCCAAGTTTCACTTTAAAAATGCACTTTCTAGAGCTGGCCCAGAATGATGGTATTTTGAGTGTGGAAGTTGGCTGTTGGGAAAATGTTTGACTAGGGCAGACAAGACCTAGCAGGTAGCTGGGGGACGTGTTGTGAAGAGTGGTGAATGTCAGGTTACTCCTAACTGGGTGGGTGATGGGACAGCATTGATACATAAGAGCCTAGAGGGGAGGGTGGCAGAGAAAGGTCTTAGTGCTTCTCTGGGTAGAGGGTGAGGATGCTCAGAGGAGTAGCCTGGCTCCCTGCTGGCTCTTGCTGACACCTGAAATCCCCGCTTCTTGTCCACTGGAGAACTGGACCTGATTGGTACTGTTACGAGTACGTAGGTGTCAGGTGGTTAGGGTGAGAGCAGAGGGAATAGTATTTCCATTCCCACTTGTCAGCTCCTTTCCTGTGGACCATAGAACTGGTTTTCGGGGGACACTGCCAGCTCAGCCCTATTCCTGCGTCTTCGTTCCATATGCGCCTGTATGACGCAACTGTCTTGTCTGCTTTCTGACTGGCCATCCCTGTGATTCAACCCCGTTCATTGGCCGTTTTTCGGGAAGATGGCAGGCGTAGTCGACGGGCTCCGTGGCAGTATAGTTCTCTAGGTGTACAGGAGCGCATGCGCCGCGCGGTTTCCCGTCGACACCCGCGTCAGTTTCCGGCGCTCCTATCTGGCGACGGAACTCGCTCCTCTTGGGCGGTTGTGGTCGGTGAGTCTTCCTGGGGCAGAGGCTGTTAACGCTAGGAGCTGAGCTCTGACGGTCAGGGCAGAGTTCTGGGACGTGGTCGGTGCCCCGAGGTGGAGTCCGAAGGAGTGCGCGCTGCGGGGAAGTGCCGGGAGGAGTTCGGGTCGCCTTCCGCCCGGCCGCTCGCTCGGTTCCTGGGCAGAAGCCCGAGCGCGCCCGCTGCCCGCCCGCGCGCCTCCTCCTCAGCTCCGGGCTGCGGGTGGCAGAGCGCGGGGCTCCGCCCGGGCCGCGTTCTCCCCGGCCGCGTGCGGCTCAGCGATCCTGGTGAGTCCCTGGCCCTTTCCGAGCGGCGCTTCCTCCTCCAGCACAGCGGGATGAGAATGGTGGGGTGAGGGGTAGAAGAACTAAGTAAATGAAGTGCTTAGTGTGCAGTAGAGAAGACTTGGGAACAACTCAAATGCATCACTAGCGAATTGGTTAAGAGACTGGAGCACATCCATGTCGGGAAGCTGACGACCCCGCCAGTGAAGAAACATTGTTAGGTCGGCGGGGTCGTATGTCATGCTGTTAACAGAGATCCTGGGGGACTCAGCCACATTGTGGGAGGTGTTTCCTCTTCCATGCCTGGGTGGCGAAAACGGTTAAACGATGTGTTAGCTGTGAGGGTTGAAGGTCCCAACCCACCCATAGGCAGCTGGAAAGATAGACCTGGTGATTTCCATCCAAAAGGTCACAGGCCTGAAAACCCTATGGAGCAGTTCACACACAGGGTCACCAGGAGTCGGAGTTGACTTGAAGGCAACTAACAGCACCAGCGTGGATTTCTATATTGTTTGAGCTCCTTGCCCCCTTTTTTTTTCCCACGATGGTTTGTATTACTTTTCTCGTTGAAACAAAAAAGGCAATTTAACGCAAAACCCAAAATACACACCATTCCGGATGATTGTGGGGAGTAACTGACAGGGTAAGGAACAAACGTGTGTCGTACATTGAGAAGAACCTGTGGCTGATGGCGTGGAATCATGGCCATGAGCCTGTCTCTGAAACCACTGGGCCTGATGTGTTTTGGAATTTAGACATTTTCAGATTTGAGAAAGATACTACAGTACCCCATCTCCAACAGGATCTGGGGCAACACTCAATAATCAAACATGTTCATTAAAATTTTTTATTGAAGTAGAATATACAGTGAAACCTGTGAGAGCCGGAGTTTAACGGGACTGCCTTGTTTTTCCAGCTCTCACAAAATTTCTGCCCTCGACAGGGTGCAGTCTGACCTCTTTTCTATCGCTTGTTTTAGTGGAAAATATTTTGAGTTTCGCTTCTCTGGCCAGTTTCCTTCCTACACGGGTTCCGGCTTTCACAGGTTTTACTGTATATGCAGAGAAACGCACATATTATTGTAAGTACGGCTTGATGAGTTTTACCTGAATGTTTACATTAATATTTCTGTTCCAAAATATATGACCACTTAGCTTAAGTGGAATAAATGAAGATTTATAAATTGTCTCTTATCAGAGGTCAGATGCTGCAGCCAAATGAGCTAGGTTAGGTGTGGCTGTCAAGCAGGTCGTGGGAAAGCCCGGGTTTGGGCTTTCAGAGCTGTGGCTGAGGGGCTGTGGACCTGTATGAGGAGTGACAGTCACATGAAGGCATTACAGCCCAGCTTCAAACAGACTTCAGGTCCCTGAAGGACAGGGAGAGGCGCGAGTTCCTAGCAGAAGGTTGGGCAGCCCTGCTTGACCACAGCGCTGGGCTGACCAGCAGGTAGTGCCCATCCTGCAGGTGGCGATGTGGTCTCACCAGGGGCCTCCCCAGTCCCTGGGAAATGACTCCTAACAGCTTTTGAGGGAAACCCTTGTTTTCTGGTTTTCAGTACAAAAATAATACATGATAAAGGGAAAACAGAGGAGAAAGAGAGAGCAGGGAGACGGGGATTGGGCTCTCGAGGTCCTTCCGGGCATAGCTGAGGCCTTGAGGACTGGCCGCGCCATGCTCCTGAAGGATTGAGCTGGACGCCGTACACGTGGCACCTCCGCAGATCCCCATGCTGGCTGGCTCTCGTGAGTAGATGCCGTTGGGCTCCCATCACTGAGATGGAGAGGCAGGTTTGCGGGGAGGCGGTGCCTGTTTAGGGCTGAAAGCCCGTGAGAGACGCTTTGGATTCTGGTCTCCTGGCTATGTTGTTATTCACCCTTCCCGGTAGTGTTTGAAGCGGGCAAGGGAGTGAAGAGGCTCAGGTAGGATCCTGGGAACCCTGTGGGGTGGGGGTGGGGGTGGGGTGTTGACCAGTGAGGAATTTTCCTTCTGAGACCAGAGTGGACATGAGGCCAAAGCAGTTGATGTCACCCTCAGATTTTTCTCCAAACCAGAACACTCCAAATACTCCATCCACATTGACTCTAGCTGAAAAAGCCCCATGATGCCTCCCGCTCACCTTCTGGAATCAGAGGCGTGGGTGACATGGGGTCAGATACACTTGAGCTCAAATCCTCACCCCGTCCAGCCCTATGTTTTTAGGCATTGTCTAATCCCTCAGCCTTGCTTGCCTCATGGACTAACCAAGTAGCTGTGCCCCTCACTGTGCTAGCACAGAGGATGGAATTGAGATGTAACTGCACCACTGCAGGTCCCTGGGTGAAGTAACTGGTTTGCCCTCAATTACTAGGCTAAAGATTGGTGGTTATAACCCACCCAGCAGTGCCACAGAAGGAAGGCCTGGTGATCTGTTGGAATGGACTCAACAGCAATGGGTTCTGTTCTGGTTTGGAACTGCACCGTGTGGCCCCAGGCGCCTGCACTGTGGCCAGGCTGAACGTGGCCTTGTCCCCTCCCTTGCTGCCCTGTCCTTGCTGCGCTGTGGGGGTGATTCGTGAGTCCTTAGGGAGGAGAAGGAACCAAGACCAGAGGGCCACAGTGTTGCCAGAGCTGCTTCTTGAATCTGATGTGCATTCTGACACCCTCGGTTTCTGCTGCTGCAAGCTCCCCACCCCTAGGGCAGAGCTGGGTCCTCTGTCCCACCCGCCACCTGGTGCTGATGGGGCTGCCTTTCCTAGGTTCAAGATCACCAGCATCCTTTTCAAGATATGCTTTCTGAGTCGGACGAGATGAGGCCTTTAGGAGCTGCTCAGGAGTTACCTGACATCAAGACCGAGCCCAAAGAGTCACACGATGAGGGGGCATCACAGGGGGAAGAGGCTTCAAGTGCACAGAAGCGGGCACCCCTGAGGTGTGGCTTCAGAGAGAAGGCTCTTCTCTTGCCTGGTAGAGGTGAGCAGGGGGAGGAGAGTAGAGGGGAGGTGAACAGTGGGGAGGAGATCAGAGAGGTGAGGAGTGAGGAAGTGAGTAGGGAGAAGGTGAGCAGAGGGGTAGTGCGCGGGGGGTGATGAGCAGGGCAGAGGCGTGGAGAGGAGAGGTGAGCAGGGTATGACGAGCAGGTAGGTGAGCAGAGGGTGAGCAGAGAGACGCTCCCCAGTGCGGCGGCAGTGTGGACGGTGGTGGCTCCCAGCCAGGGTGAGGGTCCTGGCCCTGGTTAGGGCGGAAGAGCTGCTCGCCGTGGTGTTGGGAGACAGCCCCCCATGTCTGCCTGCACCCTGTCCTGACAGAGGCCCCCCATGCAACCTCACTGCATAGCACCCGTGTTCCTAGGCCCAGGGGGAGGTGGAGTTTGAAGGACCATGGATGTCCCTGGAGGCCAGGGCTGAGCCGCTCAGGGGTAGCAGGGCCCATCAGGGGAGCCGGCCGCCTGAGGTCCCCTCTCCTCCCCCAGCCCGCCCCTCTCCACAGGTCCCGGCTGTTTCCCGGGAGGGGAGAAGCAGAGACCGGCAGATGGCTGCGGCGCTCCTCACTGCTTGGTCCCAGGTGAGTGGATCCCTCTGCCCCTCCTCCATCTGCCCCCAGCGGAGCTGGGCCTCCTCCACTCCTGTGGGTGGGCACCCGGCCTCTGTTGCCTCTGCTGGGTGTCTTGTGAAGGCCTGGACATACCAACCTGCCATCTGGGAAATGGAAGCACTGCTCCGGGCCCACTGCAGGGCTGACGAGGTGGATACCCAGCATTGTGTCCAGGGCCCACGCTGGGGCAGACGCCAAGGATGACAGAGGCAGCGTCTACCAGTGTGACTTCTCCCTCCAGTGTCTGGGCTCCACCCGAGGAGTAGCTGGGGAGGAACCTGTGCGGGGCAGGGGTGGGCCTCCACGAAAGGACGCTTCGTTCTCTCATCTTCTGCTCTACACAGCCGCCTTATTCTTGCCACACACACAGGCCCACACACGCACACGTGCACACACTCATGCACACATATGTGCTTGCATCCACGAGGTAGCACACACACCCGCTTGTACACACCTGCACACTTGCACACACACCCACTCGCACACTTGCATACACACCCACTCGCACACTTGCACACACGCCCGCATGCACGCGCACACACTAAGGCCATTTCTGGGTGTGTCCCACCCACTGATCCAGATCCGCTGGGCGGCCTCCTCTGGTAGCCAGATTCACTCTTTGAACCACTCATTGTGACGCCGTATGATCCCTTTGCTGGTCCCCCTACTGTGGCCCAAACAGTGACACGGTTGCTTCTGTTGTTCAGATGCCGGTGACCTTTGAGGATGTGGCTTTGTACCTCTCCCGGGAGGAGTGGGGCCGCCTGGACCACACGCAGCAGAACTTCTACAGAGAGGCCCTGCAGAAGAGGAAAGGGCTGTCCTTGGGTGAGCTGCCTCAGGGGCGACGGCTGCCCCTCTCATTGTTCATCTGGACGGTGCTGTCTGTAGAACTTTGCAGACTGGTGAAAATGTTCTTTATGAGCACTAATACAGTAACTGCTGACCAAACGTGGCTGTTGAGCTTTTGAAATGGGGCCTGTGCAACTGAAGTTTTCATTGCATTTAATTGTAATCAGTTCAAGTTAAAGGTTAAGTAGCCATGTGTGGCCAGTGGCTATGGGATTGTTCAGTGCCAATGAGGAGATGCAGCTTTTCTTTGGTCATTTCGTAGTGCTGACCTATTCCTGCAGTTCTTCCGTCCTCCTGGACGCTCCCACTGCAGAGGTGTTTGAGCAGAAAGCCTGGGTGCTGCCTGGCCTGGGTGGGGAATGGCCCCAGCTAAGCCCCCGGGCCCTGCCCACTCGAGACTCTGTTCTGTTCTCAGAGGCCTTGGCGCCCTTCGTTCTCCTGGTGGTGAGTCTCGGAGCCCCAGGGCTCTTGACTGCTGAGTGTCAGACACTAGTTTTCCTGGAGAATTTGATGAGGCTTATGGAAGATTCATTCACGCATGCGTTCAGCACTATCACTTCACACCCACGAGTGCCAGGCGGATCCGGGGGCTTGGCAGTTCCACCCTTGAGTTTTATGGTGCTCCTGCGTGTCCTTCTGGCCCTGCCGGGTTCCAAGATCACAGCAGCGGTTCCGGTCACCCCTTTAATTATCTCAAGTGGGCTCACCATGCGTTGTTAACATCCCACCAAATCCCAGTGAGTCCTTGGGAACAGAGGGACTTGGCACCCATTGGCAGCTCCATGGCGGGCCTCATAGACACCGTAACCCTGCAGCAACCCCTCTGGTCCAACTCAGTCCTCCCACAGTGCTTGGAGCAGGCAAGGAGGCCAGGCTCCTGCCCTCTTACTAAGCAGTTGTCCTCTGGGACCCTCACCCCGAGGTGACTTGGCAGATGGAACTTTGTACCCTGTCGTCTTGGTTGCCAGCATCCCTGGCCCTTTTTCCAGCGTCCCACATGGCCTCTCTGCCCATTCCCTGCCTCTCCCGGAGTCCTTGCCAGTCACCCAGAAACGTGAGTGCAGGAACAGGAGGCTTTATGTCTGGGTTCTGATGAGACTGGGCCCACCCGCCGGGGCTGGGTAACACACTCAGTGACCTGGCCCACCTGCTATCATGTTCATTCTGTTGCTCGTTCAGGGAGACACAGGCAGCCCCGAGCCTCAACAAGAGTGTACTTGGGGTTTGTGTGGAAGGTGTTCCAAAGAGGGAGTGACCCCTTGTAGAACATAACTTAAAAAAAAAGTTTTTATCCTGGTTCAGATATCCACAACAAAACATACACCAATTAAATAATTTCTGTGTGTGTAATTCGGTGACATTAATTACAGTTTTAAAGTCATATAACCATTCTCACTGTCTTTTTCCAAATCATTCCACCACCACGAATATAAGCTCAGTGCTCCCTGAGCAGAAACTCCCTTGAAAGTGACTTTTTGCACCCACTTTATTCTACCTGAAGTTTCCAGAGCTGCAGCCCCCACACAGTTTGCCCCACCATTTTGCGGGGGGTGATGTCTGGTGCTGGGTGGCCCCGGAAGCACCGAGTTCGAGCCTATTGTCTCTTTCCGGCCAGGGTTTCCCTTCCGCAGGCCTTTCTGGGCCTCCCAGGTGCAGGCGAAGGGCGAGGCCTCAAGCTCCGGCCAGCAGACAGGAGAGGAGGAGGACGAAGAGAAGACGGCCGTGTGCACAGGTGAGATCTCGGGGAGTTGGAGGGACAGTCATTCCCAGGCGCCCTCGTCCATCGGGGCTTCCTGTCTGTTTTCTGCTGGGCCACGACGCACGACCTTCCTGAGGCTGTCCCAGGGCAGGGCGGCCAGTGATCCTCCGCTGTAGAGAGGGGCTCTCTCCTCTCGGACCCCCAGGTGCTTGCCCTTTCTTATCTCCTGGAACCAGCCTCCCTCTTAACTTGGTCTCCCCATGCCCCCGGGCCCCTGGGTCTTTTATGAAAACCTCTCTCACTGGACACCATCTTTCCTCAGAAGCTGTGGAGGTGGGGATGGAGGTCCCGGCCCCTGCTGCCGTTCGGGATGTGAAGCCCTTCAGAACCACAGCAGGGGCTGCCCTGCACTGTGGGCAGCAGGCCTCCGGGAGCCAGGGCTCAGGAGAGACTGTGAACAACAGGCCGCCTTGGCCTCTGGAGCACGGGCAGCTGAAGACAGCTCCACCAGCCATATGCCTTCCAGAAACCCAGGAGGGTGACATCCCTGAGAAGCCCAGTGAGGAGGAAGAATGCAACACTGAGGCCGCGGAGAGCGGCGAGGAGGGCCTGGCCGCCGAGGGCGACGGCAGCAAGAAGACCTACAAGTGCGAGCAGTGTGGCAAGGGCTTCAGCTGGCATTCACACCTGGTGACGCACCGGCGCACACACACGGGCGAGAAGCCCTACGCCTGCACGGACTGCGGCAAGGGCTTCAGCAGCAGCTCCCACCTCATCCAGCACCAGATCATCCACACGGGTGAGAAGCCCTACACCTGCCCCTCCTGCTGGAAGAGCTTCAGCCACCACTCGACGCTCATCCAGCACCAGCGCATCCACACCGGTGAGAAGCCCTACGTGTGTGACCGCTGTGCCAAGCGCTTCACCCGCCATTCAGACCTAGTAGCCCACCAGGGCACCCACACGGGCGCCAAGCCCCACAAGTGTCCCGTCTGCAGCAAGTGCTTCACGCATAGCTCGGCCCTGGTCAGTCACCAGCGCACCCACACCGGGGTCAAGCCCTACCCGTGCCCCGAGTGCGGCAAATGCTTCAGCCAGCGCTCCAACCTCATCGCCCACAACCGCACCCACACCGGCGAGAAGCCCTACCACTGCCTTGAGTGCGGCAAGAGCTTCAGCCACAGCTCGCGCCTCAGCGCCCACCAGCGCACCCACCGCGGCGTCCGGCCTTACTCCTGTCCCCTGTGTGGCAAGAGCTACAGCCACAGCTCCAACCTCATCGCCCACAAACGCACCCACACCGGCGAGAAACCCTACCACTGCCTAGAATGTGGCAAGAGCTTCAGCCACAGCACGCGCCTCGCCGCCCACCAGCGCACCCACCGCGGCATCCGGCCCCACACCTGTCCCCTGTGCGGCAAGAGCTTCAGCCGCCGCGCCAACCTGCACCGGCACGAGAAGATCCACAGCACGGGGCCCAAGGCCGTGGCCACGCTGGTGCAGGGGGCAGCCGGGGATTCCCGGGTAGCGCCTTCACTGGTACCCACCTAGGAGACTGGAGAGGGCCGCCCTGGAGGGAGGAGGGAGGAGGGAGGGCTTGGGAAGGGGGTCAGGAGGCAGCAGGCGTGGGGTGGGGCATGGCCACGGGGGGGGACCTGGGGCCAGCGGAGCTACACTAGCTTCAGATTAAAGGCCTTGGAATTGAGGC